ATATTGCGACCAGAATCTTTTTGGTTTGTTGATTAAGTACATCATGTAATAATAACTGTTGTCAGTATATTCTGTGCTTTTTGCACTATGACCTGCTAAACTTGTTAGTAAAAACAAAAAAAAGTTGTTTCGCTATACGAAAATATTATTTTCATTTTATGAGATTTAAAAGCTTGTCTGGGAGTTTGTATACAGTCTCTATGCATTTAAAATCTTTCTGAATTTGCTCAACAGTTATTTGCAATTATTATGGTATACATATGGATGAGGGTCGTTAAGCTCATTTTGTTATGATGCGCAACTGAATCCTTGAAGATGACGGATGAATCAATTAAAATGGTTTTTGTATGAGGTTTCGATAAAATTTGCTCTTACGCGCAGTATGAGGCTTTCAATTTGTTTTAAAAAAAAGTGATATTCAAGAAAAGATATCATTGAACGATCGAACTGAATAAATGCTTTGATGCATGAGCTCAAATTTTTGCAGTTTTTTTCATAGCCAACGCTTCAATTGTCATTTCTCCAGTTTTTTGAGGAAATCGACATGCCCAAAAACTTTATAACTCAAGTATCAGTACTATCATAAAAGGCAGATAAATTTTCTCCAGTTTGATCAATAAAAAAGCGAAAAAGCGCTAAAATACACTCTCAAAAATTCAATCGAGTTTGTACAAATTTTTTATCGATACCCTTTGAATTTTTTAAATTTTAAATAATTCAGCTCCCACATAGACAACAGAACTAAAACCTGACAATTCATTCTTTGGCATAACATATTTGTCGAACGAACAAAGCATTCTAAATTAAAAATCTTTGAGCATGAGTGAAAAAAGTCAAATGTTGTGTCGCAGTTTTGAGAAAGTCTTTTGCTAATTTTTATTTTTTTTCTTAAAGATTTTTAAAAAGCCTAAAAGATGAAATATTGAGTTTTCAAAATCATTTCACACTGAAAACTGTATAGATTTTTTTTCTATTAATAGAATTCATGGAAAAATAACACTGCAATATGAAACCCTTGAAATGGCTGCATTGATAATAAATCAAGCAATATACCATTGCGTCCGGTTTCTGAAAAAATGCTTGGGTTGACTATTTCTGCAAGTTTCTTATGCAGTTTCTCTTCTAAACAATAGATGAATGAGTTTTCTCAAATGTCCCAAAATTGAACTGAAATCAATCTGAAATTGACTGATTTTGAACTTCTAACAATTTTTTTCTGAGCTTGAAATTTTATATGTTTTAGTCTGATTGCATTGTATAATTACAAAGTATTATTTCATACTGTTTTCCGAACTGAAACAGATCTGAATTGTAAATTAACAGACTAAACATTGTAATATTCAGAGCAGCAGCCAAAGATATATAATAAAATATAATAGTTTATAATTTTTTATAATATAATATAATATAAGATAATATAATATAAAATAATATACTATATTATAATATAATATAGAATATTATAATATAAAATAATATAATATATTATTATATAATAAAATATAATATAATGTAATATAATATACTATAAAATAATTAAAGTTTTCAGAAAATGCCCTATTTTGATCATATTATTCAACTCTAGAAATCAATACCTGAAATACTTAGTTAAAAAGGACTAATTGTTTTATCCGAGCTATGACTATTTGCAATTCACGATTCAGGAAATGTTTTAGGTTCCCCCAAAAAAAACTTCTGATTTGGGGGGTTAGAATTGAAAGAATCTTGAAGCATCTACTAAACCCGACTTAGCGTTAAAGTAATTCCCACATTGTGAATTACACGCGTCATTTAGTTGATCCAATTGGAGGATTGAGACTAATTTTTGGGGATATTTTTGCTTTTATTTTTGGAATACTAATCTAATTTACCCCGGTGATTTAACAAACCAGTTTATTTTCATTACATTTGTTTTATTTTTGTTTATTGCGGCTTAAAATGGTCACTTTTTTCAATGTAATGGTGTTTGGAGACAAAAATATCTTAGCGAATGAATTTAAAATGGAACTCTTTTGTTCCCGGGATGTCAAACTGAATTTATCAGGCGTCTAGACGATGGATCTAATTGGAAAAAGCAAATCCTCCCCTTTTCGCAATTTAATAGAAAAAAGAGGGAAAAAGATCAAAATTGAGCTAATAAAGCGATCAGAACAGAAAAAAGGACTGAAATTGCGTTGATTAAACGAAAATAGAACGAAGACATAACATTGGGTATTTTTTGCTTAGTTTTAGATAAAAGTTAATTGATTCAGACTAAAAGAGGCCCTAGTCGATCAAGGGAGGTTATTTTTCAAGATCTTGCAAGATTCTTGAAAAGAGGGTTATCATGCAAGATCTTGCAAGATGGAGGGGGCAAGATGGATCTTGCTAGATGGATTTTCCAATCTTTTTAGGAGTTTGATCAATCCGATCAATATTTGCACTCAAAGTCTAGTTTTCAAAAACTTTCATCGGAATCGGGGATCTATCGACAAATTTATTGAGGCGGGGATTTTTTTCTATGCATTTTTTACCAAAAGAATTTTGTTTTACGTAGACCAATTAAAAATGTGGTCATGGACATAATTTGAGCTCATGGAAAGTAAAAAAAAAGAACTTAGGCAAAAAACTTCAGCACCGTAGCGTCGCAGAAGTTTTTTTCTGCCTAAGTTCGTTTTTCTTCTTTTCATGAGCTGATAGTTAGTCTAAATTGAGTTTTTCAAGTATATGTTTATTTGCTTAACAAAATTGCACATAGAATGTTGCTAATGGAAATGACCATAGAAGAATTTCAGAATAAATTTATTTTTCATCACCGAGGGAGCCATTAAATGCGCCAAAAATCAAAACTGATTCCCTTAAACTCAGAAATCTGCAAAAAGTCTCTCATCGAAAGTTTCATTTTCTTTGTAGCACTCATGAATAACTCATTTGATCTTAAAAGTTTGCTCGAGCTTTGAAACAACAACAATAGTTCAGTTAAATCATTTTCGTTTGTAAAATGATGGATATCACTTCCTTCCAAAAATTCCTTCAAACCGATTTGTTGTGCAACAAAATCTATTTTGTTGCTACCGTAAAATTATTATTATTTTTCATTCTAAATCGTTTTCCATAACTAAACGGGCTACCGCAAGTCAGTTTTTTCGGCAAAAAAAATCTGTTTAAAATATATTTTTAAGTTTTTCAATGCGGGTTTCCAATTTTCTACTACCACTAAATATGTTCAGACTCAAGAAAAACTTCTCAGCAAACAAAATCTTAAAACGTCGAAAATTATTAATTTTTTTTTAATCAAGCGACATACAAAAATTTTGCACAAAAACAAAAAACAAATAATTTTTTTTACCAAAAAGCAAAATGACTGCTGATTTCTTGTATAATCAAAATCAATTCAATTGATTCTAAAACTGAGCATAACTGAATTTTTGATGAATTTTGGAAACCAGGTATGAATGAATTTCAAAACCAAACGTAAGCATTGGTAAATGAATATTTGGGTGATTCGGCGCTTATTTGCGAGAGATTTTTTGCAAGAGACAATTGCGCATTTTTTTTGTTAAAAAAATTAAGAAATTATTTGTCGCACACACTCACAAGTAGAGTTTTTATACGAACAAAGATAAAAAATATATATCAATTGTTGCATCGCTAATTGAATAAAATGAACAAGTTAAAAACTAAATGAATGGCCAGTTGGCCTAGCGGAATATTCTAAATGTGCTGTATACAGACTTGCCAGTTGGCGCAGGCTCAAATCTCTACGTACCCTGACTTCATACATGTAAAACCGAAAAGCTATAAACCCATTTGACGTTTTTAACCGTTTTTTTTTGCTGTTCTTGCTCCGATGGGGGACGAGAATGCTTTCTCTAGAATTCATAGCGAGAAAACCCAACGTCCTAACAATTAAATTTTCTGGTGAACGAAGAACAGTGTGTGAGAAAAGTCAAAAACTGATAATCCGAAAAAAAAAATTCACAAGTTGTTCAGGTGCTATTTCAGTATTGATTTATTAATGTTTCATTTTGCGTAATTTATGGCATTGAAATCTGGTTTTGAAGACCGAAAATCTGTCAATTTGATTTTCTTTGTTGACTAGTAATTTCCAATAATTACGGTTAATTTACGTATGAAATGAAATGTTGTTAATCAGCCAGCTACCCGAAATAGATTTACCTCAGAACCGAAACGAGGCAGAAATACGAAGAACGAATCAAAAAACAAGCAACATAAAAAACAATATGAGTTGAGTTAAATGATGCGGTATGGCAACAATTTGTGCATGCAACCTATAGTCGCAAAACTATCATTACGAGGTGGTTTAGTTAAAAAGCAAAAAATTCGAAAAAAGCGAACTTCTTCTTGGCAAAAACTTTGGCCAAGAATCATCATTTAGCTTCAAATAAGCAAAAAATTACCGCAACTTAGAAAAAATTAAGATTCATCCACAAATTTTTTACCTGCCTTGTAATCATTTCTGCTGTTATTTAGCCGTTTTGTCGACGAAACTGTTTTACGCAGAAAAAAAGGGTTTTGAAATCCAAATTCTAATTTGAAACTGTTTCATTATGATGTACCACTTGTCTCGAACGACCAAAATAATGGTAATTTTTTTGCGCATCTATGGTTTGGTCGGCATGACTACGTTTTATTACTTTTTAACTTTTTCAATATAACTACGGAGTAACTTTTCAATGTATCAGTCAGATAACCTAGATCTTTTTTTTGACTCTCGATCCATTTGTCAACAACGTTCCTCTGGTATTTTAATTTATTTATCATTGTTTAGGGTCCATTTCTGTTGCCATGGTCGTGTTCATTTTCCCACTATCAGAGCGATAGAAATAATCCGAATGTTCCGACTCCTGTAAAAATTGTCCCTTTGTGTATAAAACAAACATTTATTTTTGCAGAAGACGAAATGTTGAGAGTATTTAGCACCGGAATTTTGATGAAACGCCTTTTAAATGAGAGTTTATTATTTGGATTGCAAATTGAAAAGCAACGCAACACCATACCTGATTGGAGAAGCAGAAACAGCAGTGTTATGTACGACACCACAGGTAACTTTGAGGTCACACTGAAAAGATGACAAAGGGGGAAAAACTGAATGGGCAAAACTAAACTGGGGGCACTTTTAACTCCCCCGTGTCCTCGCGAATTCTCACTGCGACCTACACTTCCGGTCGCCAATCGCATTTTGATGCTGACAGTAAACAATTTGTTTACCAAACTTGACTTCCAATTTTAAACGTAGTTCTGTAAACAAGGTTTACAAGGTAAAAATTGGGTAGAAATGGTCTTTATTTGTTGACAAGATTATTAGTGTAACCAAGAGAGGTTTTCGATTTCCAGGAATTGAGACAGTGGTTGACTGTTTGTTGTCATTGGAAGGCGAAGAATCTGAAGCAAAAAAAGCAAGTAAGATAACTGGTAATAAACAAAATCTACAGTTATAAGCGTAACACCGATAGATGATATTGCAAGTAAAAATCGTAGTTTTTTTATTTGTGAAAAATTATTAAAGAGCGCAGTTTTTGATTCGCCTGGAAGCAACTAATTGTAAACATTAATGGACTGCTTATTAAATATTTGTAAGAATTTTTTTTACAGTCAAAAGAATAAATAATTCTTCCAGATCTGAGATGGTCAATGGGAAAATAAAGTATCTGTACATGAATCACAAATAAGATCAGAGTTGAAAACAGGTTTTCAATTTAAGATAAGAGGACAAATTTTAGACGGAAAACTTGACTTTAAATAATTAATCGAAAATACGATGAACAAGATACGTCTGAAAAAGCTGACCAACCACAAGATTTTTTTCTACCAGGAGCAAAATTGTACTTTTTTATTTTTTATTTGCTAGCGTATAATACTAAGGTATTGTAGCTATATTTTATTTTTTCAAAAAACTGCTTAATATGCCAATGGCGAAAAAAAAACGGTATAAATTTTGAACGACAGAAAGAGCAACGCGTCTGTTGAGGTAATCTAAACGATTATCAAAGTAAAAATAAACACACTTTTGCAATAAAAAATAAACAAAATTTGCAACCATGAAACGTCTTTTTTGAGCAAGAAAACAAAAGAACACAATTTCGATATTGCTTTTTGATACCTTTTTTAAAGCTCAAAGGACTATTCTGTCATTTAATTTCAATTCCCAATTGGTATGTTAAGAGCAGGCTTATACCATTGTAAAATCTATCACAGCGGCACGCGCAAACTCACTTACTGATTTGGTTTTGAGGATTGATAGATTATGCAAATTTAAAATATGGGCAGGCTAAATTTCGAGCGGTTTGTGTTTCTTTTTGTTTGTTGTTTTTGTTCAAAAGTGACAGCGAAGAACAATAAACTTGCTGCGTTTTCCTTAGTCAATAATTTTTCCTTTGTCGGTCGAAGAAAATATTTCAACAATCGATGCAGATTAAAATCAAGAAGGAAAACGCATAACTCCACCTTTTTGCGGAGATTAACCAAAATCAAACAAGGATACTAGTCGGTTGCTGTGCAGTTACCACAGAAACTTCCGAACACAACGATTGGAAAAAAGATAGTCAAAATAAGACAACACTTCTCGGATCAGGGCGAAGCCCTGAATGTTTCGACTGCTTTTAAGATTTATGGACTAGTGTTCGCTTTTACAAAAAATTGATGAAGATAACACCAAAAATGAAAAAAAAAATCAAAAAAATTTTTAAGGTGTTTTTTGTTTTAAATCAGCCCCCCCCCCCTCACGCTGTGTAAAGTACAAAGTGAAATATTTCGCATTTAGCAAAGTATTCAATGTACCAATTAGAAAGCCTCATTTCAATTGACACGGTTTTAGTCTTGCTCATGCGTTAATAGCACAAAGTATATCGCGCGTTAAAAATCCCAAATTGGCAAACTTTAAACGTAAAACTTTATGAAAAATAATCACTAGTGCAATATCTTTTTAAATTTGATCTCAAGACAATCAAATCTGTCGGATGATGTAGAAAAAATTCTTCAAAAATGGCTAGTCATAAAGTCGAAATTCATCGAGAAAAAAACCTTATTAACAAATATTTTGTCATTCTTTTCGAAATAAGTCATTTTTTTTTTGAAAAAAAAAATGATAGTAAGAAAAATAATTAAGCAAAACTGTTTTTTTTTCATTAAAGGCAAACATTTTAATTTCAAAGCTGTCTAATGAAAATACTAGCTGGCTTGAAACAAGACAGATCAAAATCAGGACAAAGCCTTGAAATTTCTGACTACCGTCAGTTGTCGATCACAAGCTTTTCAAATAAATTTTTATCTTATAAATTGTTCGAGAAAATGAGAAAACTTCCATTTTTTTAAACAAATTTTTTCGTCTCATTGAATCCCCACAATTTTTTGAATGTAACAAAAGATATAATTTGAAAACTGATCACAAACAAACGTCTTGTTGCACTTGAGCTCAAAGCAACAATATCTTTGAGGTAAAATGAAAAAAAAAAACAACGCTGTCAAAATTGCTTAGTTAAAAAAACAAAAATTGAATGAAAACACAAACCCAAGTACAAACATTCCAACCTTTCTTCAATTGTCCTACAAAAGTTAAGAAAAAGTATACTTAGAATTCAATTTTTTTGTTTCTGTTTTGTCAATCGTAATTCTTAAAAACGAAAAATTTCAAACTGGTTTTTCTCAAAGCTTTTAATAACTTTTTTGAAACCAAAGCATTGCTTTCAAATTAACTGGAAAAAATACAAGCTACGGCATAGTTCCTTCATAATTGGCAAAGTGTTTGGAACAAAAAGAAAAGTTGTGAGCATAACAAAACAAATAGTAAAAAAAATCATATTTATAACCATTGAATTGAACAGAAAACTAATTTCTCACTTTTTATCGCATTGTTTAAAATGACAAGTTGCAATTTTTGCTTCCAAGTAGCACGAGTTGCTCCAACAAAATGTTTTTTACCCTATCAGATCCTACTCTGTAGGCTCTTCTAGCGTTTTTTGAAATTTTCCAGGCAGAAAAAAACTGATTATAAATCATATTTCCTTCTTGACGCGACAAAGTTGTCGGAACAGTATTTAAAAAGTTTCTTGAAAAAATGTAAGTTAACGAAATCAAACTTCTAACTGAGTTGTTATACTTTTACTTTGAGAAGCAAAAGGAAAAGAATAAAATAGGTTATATACCGACAAAGTTACGCATGTTGGCCTCCCCAACCCCTAACCTTCCTTTACCTTTTTATAAGATAACTGCTCACATCAACTACTTCATTAGATAAACAACATCTCAAAAAACTTTTAGTCTCAATTTTGAAGTTGTTTGTGCCTTCATTGAGTATATTTCATAACAAAGAGAAAAATTATTATAATTCTGCCACAAAACTGCAAGGAAAGCAAAACAGGCTTGTCAATATACGGGCAACACTTCGAGTTTTTTGATATCCTTAGAAAACAAAGTAACTTCTTGTTGAACACTTTAATATCATTTAAAAAATTGCAAAAAAATGAGTGTTTTTTTTTTCATTTGAAGAAAAAAAAACAATTTTTTGAAATTTTTTTCTGTCTGCTTTGAAGTGAAAAGTATGAGTAGCATTTCTAATTACCCTTTAAATGTATTCAGCTAACTTGTTGAAAGTTTTTTCTAAACAGTAAGCCAGCTGTTTAAATATCGCGTTATTGGAAAACTGAAAACTTCCCAAAAAAATTTGGTTAATTTCAATACATTAAAAATCATGAAAAACATTCAGCGGGCATTTTAATTTAATTTGCAGCTTAATCATTCTTATGATTTTCAGATAATGTGAAAAAGTTCGTCAGATTTGGTGTTTTTAGTTTCGGATTGTTTCATACTCCACTCCACTCACTGAATAAAAGTGATAAAGCAAACATTCGACCGCAAATAATTTAAGTATTAATATCCTCTAATCGCTAAATGTTTGTATTTGGTATATTATTTCTTTCTTTATTGAACTGTTGTTTTACTGATCACAGGACAGTTTCACAAATTAGGCTGAGACAGTAAACTTTGAACCACCTGGCCAAATAGTTAGATATAATGAAGCAATTGATTGGAAGTGATATTTTTGCATAAGTTATTTGTGATTTTATTTTTTTCTCTGAACAAATAAACAAAAAAAAAATTCACTTTCAGAGAGGAGAAAAACTCAAAATCTTAATATTAATGAAATAATTTTTCGCAGAAAAAATTCCTTGAAAGAAAAATCTTTTGTTTTCGCTTTTATGCTTAGTTTATCAGTATGTCCATAACTAATATGATCAAATCTTCAGTTTTAAAATAATCATCAAATAAAGGGAAAAAATTGCTGACTAATAGTAATAGTATCTTTAATAGTAACAGAGTATATCGCGCGTTAAATATCCCAAATTGTCAAACATTAAACGTAAAAATTTATGAAAAATATTCACTAGTGAAATATCTTTTTAAATTTGATCTCAAGACAATCAATTCTGCCGGATGATGTATGATGTATAAAAAATTCTTCAAAAATGGCTAGTTATAAAGTCGAAATTTTTCTGGAAAAAAACCTTATTAAATAATTTGTCATTGTTTTCGAAATAAGTCTTTTTTTTGAAAAAAAAAATGATAGTTAAGAAAAATAATTAATCAATACTTCAATAACTAAACAATATCTGAAAAAATTTTTAGTCTCCATTTTGAAGTTGTTTGTGCCTTCATTGAGTTTATTTGATAACAAAGAGAAAACGTTTCTATAATTCTGCAACAAAACTGCAAGGAAAGCAAAATTTCGACTAGTTTAGAAACATTTCTAGCAGATTTGCAGTCCAAAAGCACTGAAAAAAATCGCAATTCTTGAACCACTAAAAATTAAATTTTTCTATACCTTCAAAGTTAATTTAAATGGTTATTTCGCCGACTTATGCAGAAAATGTGAGAAAATTTATGCTTTGGACAGTTTTGTTATTCAGAGCAAATTGACTATCGGAACATTTTTTCATCAACAAATTTCTGTTCCCTCGTGAAGGTAGAACTAACTCACTGGGTTCAAGTCTTTTATTTAACCAGAACTCACTTTTGCTAAATTTCAAAATGATGTGTAAAGCGAACATTTTATGAGAAGCAATTTATAAGATCAACCCAAATAAAACTGAAGAAAGTGTTTTAATCAATGACAAAGAGAAAGGTCTGATCTAAACTTTCAACAACAAAAAAACAAGTTGAAGACATTTTGGCGGGAAACGATAAATGGTTTCACACCTTGCTTGTCCTCAAAACGAAAGAAAATAAGACTAACTGCTGTAGAAAATAGTAATTGATTATTTGGCTAATCCTTTTCTTCTAACTAAATGCCTTGCATCTACTTGTTTTCTTTTTTTGTCCCTCGTAAATGTCCATTAAGTTTTGTGTGTGTATGCGTCCTGTGTCCTTGTCATTTACCCATACCGCAAACTACAGGGTGTTTCAAATAAACTGTAATGTTATAAAAGCTTCTCATTTCATAACTGTTGATCAGTTCGACTTCAAATTCGGTGATATTATGTAGAACAGGCGGAGATTTGATAAAACTCAAAAACTGCGTTGATGAATTGAACTCGATAGTGAATACCCGCGATTTTCCAACTATTTCACGCTTCCACGCAACAAAAAATTTTTTAAACTATTTGTTCATACGTAAATAATGAAAACAACGAAATGATTTTCACAGTAAACGAAGAAAAACGGATCATTTGTTTGTTTGCAATTTAGGAATCCCCAACTGAAGTTCGGAGAAGATATATCAATGAATATTACATTGCCCCACGCGTTGCATCAACACTTCAACTTACGCAGTTTATCAGAGTGTGGAAACGGTTCCAAGAAAGAGGCGGGTTATCGAAATTTCAAGGGCAGCATCGAAAAGGAACGGGGTTACCAGGAACCGATGAAGCGAATTAACTTGGAGAGTCGCGAGAGCTGCCAAAATGAAGCCCTACAAAGTGCTCAAAACACACCAAATTAAAGAGACGAACTTCGGCTTGAGACTTACTTTTGGTGTCTGATGCTTGAGCAAGATTGAAACAGCGGCAGATTTCACATCACGGGTGATTTTCTCAGACGAAAAGTGGTGGGTGCTCGACAGCTCTCCAAATTCTCAAAACGATAAGAGATGGAGTTTAGTTAACCCCAGAGAATACGCGTAGTGCAAGTACCAGGGCAAAAAAAAAGTGATGTGCTGGATGGGTTTCCTTCAAGGAGCTGTTCTTGGCCCGTTTTGGTTCGTAGACGAACAGCAACGACCAATAACACTGAACCAGTTTTCGTATCTGAACATGCTGGAACACGACCTCTGGCCAGTCCTTCGAGAACGACGAAACTTGAGGCGCATATGGTTTATGCAAGACGGAGCCACATGTCACTGCACGGGACGCGTACTCAGTTGGCTTGGGACAAAGTTCAACGACAGAATTATAAGTAGACGAACCCCTATACCCTGGCCACCTCAGAGTCCGGACCTGAATCCCCTGGATTTTTGGCTGTGGGGTCATCTGGGGAAAATTGTTCATGTTGCGAATCCACGAAGTATTGACCAACTCATGCAAACTGTAGAAGATGCCCGAAATACAATAACGCCCGATAATATCGAAGGGTCATTGAGAAATTTGACGAAAAGATTACAAAGCTGTGTTGCTCAAAACGGCGGACACTTTCAGCATCTTTTATAAAACAATTTTATCAGATATTCAAATCTCCGCCACTTATCTATCTTGTGCAATAAAAATTTTGTATTTATCTCTTCTCAAAAAAAGTTATAGCGTTTTATAAAATTACAGTTTATTTGAAACACCCTGTAATAGTTGGTTTCTGTTTTATGCGGAAAAGAACAGTTCAAAAAATCAAAATTTCCCACTGCATCCATAATTTATTTTTGCAAAAGCTATTCGAGACCAGTAGAAAGCATAGAGAATTTTCTAGCTTTACCAGATACGAGCCTTCAATACGGTCCAATTTTATTCTTTGGTATTTCATTGAAAGGACTTGATGAAGTAATTAAACGTGTCAGTTTGAATTTCAACTCTTTTCAAATCCCAAAGAGGTTGGCCGAAAGAAGCAAAAATGAAACACAGGCTTCTCAAAATACGGGCAACATTTGGAGTTTTCTGATATCCTTAGAAAACAAAGTAACTTGTTGTTGATCATTTTAATATCATTTAAAAAAAATGCAAAAAAATAAGTGTTTTTTTTTTCATTTGAAGAAAAAAAAAATCAATTTTTTAAAATCTTTTTCTGTCTGCCTTGAAGTGAAAACTATGATTGAAATGATTTTTTTGCATAATTTATTTATTGTTTTTTTTCTAAACAAATTAACAAAAAAATTATTTACTTTCAGAGAGGAGAAAAACTCAAAAACTTCTTTATTAATGAAATAATTTTTCTCAGAAAAAATTTCTAGAAAAAAAAAATCATTTTTTTTCTTTCGCTTTCATGTTAAGGTTATCGGTATGTCCATAACTAATATGACCAAATCTTCAGTCTTAGAATAATCATCAAATGAATGGAAAAAATTGCGGACTAAACCTAGGTGGGTCCCGCTATTTCATACTTTGTTAAATGCTCTTATTCTCAAAGACACTTTCGGAAATCTGAATCCCCATGCTGTTTTCGTCGTCACTGAGTGAAGTTTTAATTTTTATTACGTTTAAATTGAATCTCGACTGAGACGGCTTTTGTATCATATATCACTCAACTACGTCTAACATTTGTTTGGGGCGCCTGATTTGTTGTAGGAAAAAATAACACGCAACCGAATACCAATTTCATTCTCACTTCGTGGTCGGCACAACAGTAGTACGGAAGTTGCATTCATTGTCTACACAAAAACGGACAGTAATTGTTTCAAGAGCGCTAAGATAAAGTATTAAAAACTGTTTTTATCAAAACGCAAACCTGTCTGAAAGACAAAAATCGTCATAATTATTTGACGCTTTTTTAAAAACGACATGTGTCGGACATTACGAGGTCAAACTGTTTACGGGATAGGCGCACAATTTTGTGCCTGTATGTTCCTTGATTGCAGAGACAAGCTTTTAAAGATGTAAAAATTTTGTAGGAGCGATCAAAGAAAAAAAATAACAAAAGAAGAATGAATGGAACGTTACTGTTGCGGAATTGTTTGCAAAATCCACAAAATGCACAGTTTGGCACGTAATAGTATCTTATGACAATTCGCCATTCAATTTCTTGAATGCAAGTTTAAATTTAAACAGTAATCTGGAGAGTTAATTTAAAAAAATTTTAACGTTTTACTGAAAGATAAAAACTTTCGTTTAATTTTTACTATTGTTAAACAAATGTTTTCGTCTTTTTAGATAAGTATAAATAACAAAACTGAAACTTCCATTTAATTTTTTCTGCCTTTGTTCTTATTCATCAAAAAGTAATTTGTGCAAATATTTTGGCCAAAAAGTTCAAGTGGCTTGAAACATTTTGTAGCAATGTAAAAAATATTTTAACAGTGTATTCAAAAGAGACCAGTGAATTGTAGTATTTTCTTGGTTGAAAGGTTAAAATCCAGAGCCCGTTTGTATTGTATGTTTATGCCATTACCTCAATGTATAAACGGGATTCCGTGTTTGCACAATAAAAGGATATATCACCAATATTCGATTAGATTAGAAATGATAAAATTATGTGGAAGCAATATGTAAGCAACCGAAATAATTTTGACGGGAAAAAAAGAAATCACTGAACCATCTCTAACTGGGATTGGAAACTCAAATCGGAAAAGAATGAAAAGAAAAAAATAACCCACAAAATAAGATCAGTCGCCCAATCTAAAAATCGAGTTGAAGTGGCAGTTTTTTGTGCCCTTTGCCGTTACTTTTTCTCTATTTTTGATAGACTGGCCAAAAATCAACGCTTGTTCTTAAAATAAAATCAATTATTTCTGGGCTATTGAGTCTCAAGCATTTTTCTTGTATATTGCGACAAGTACCATCGAGTAAATGTAGAATGAAAACTGGAGTTGTTGGCGTGAAGATGAAAATAGCAAAATCAATAGAACCGAGGGGGGTGGATGGGGCTTAAAGGGCAAGGAAGTAAAAGAGCGAGCGGCTGGAAATTGCTAGAAAACGGCACAAAAATGGCACGAAATTGGTAAGAAAATGGTTAGAAAATGGAATGAAAAGACGAAATAAAGATTAGCACAGACTATTCAATAGCAAGAGTAGAAAAAAACTGGATTGATAATCGAGCGTATATTATCAAGAATCACAAATGGATTGGAAAAAAGAAAGAAAGAAAGAAAAGAGAGAAAAGAGAGAAAAAGCAGGAGAAAGTGGAATAATAGTTGCGTCGGAATAAAGAAATGAACAAAAACTACACTATGTAAAATGTAAGTTCAGAAAAGTGTTGGTGACAGTTGAATCTAATTTTGGAAGAGCAAATCGATTGAAAGCATATGAAAACCAAAACTCATTTCGCTGATAAGTTTACCAATTAGCAATATGAAATTCTTGGAACTTTTTATATTTCTTTTGACTTGTAAAGAAAACTTCTGTTTATTGAATTAGTGACAAAATAAAAAAAAATCGGATTGATTTCCTAGAACCGGTTCGGTTGGATAGAATCATGGTTTTTTTTTCTGTTAAATCATGAGTTTTTTCTGTTAAATGGCTCAAACTCGTTTGGCCCTCTTATTTTACAAATTGATTCATGTTGCTCTAAGGTGAAATTAATTCCGCTTAAAGAAAATATTGATTTTTTTTTCAAACAAAAGCTCAATTAACAATTTGGTAATTTTGGCCGTATACGGAATCATTTTTGTGTAAACATTTTATACATTGTGGACAATGCCAGATAATGGCCAGAAAAACCATCCGAACTTTTTTGGAGTTCAGCGAACTATGAAAAAATTAGAAAACAGAGAAGTTAAATTATTATTATAACTGGAATCTAAGTGAAGAAATTTTCGGCCTGGTTCACAAACAAATCTCATTTACTTTCAATAAAAAGGCTTAAAAACAAAACCCATAATCGATTTCGACCGCTGGTCTTAATGTAGGATCTTGTTCGATTCCTGCTAAAAACGTTTATCTTTTTCATTAGAGTCGGAACAAACTGATTTAAGGGCAGAAAAAAATCACTTACTAATTAATTTATTACTCGTATTTTAATAGAGTGGGGGATATATAGTTCCGTTTGTCGATTGGGATGGGCTTAGACGCTTACAACAACTGCTAAATGCTAACCAGTCTTAAAAAAAACTGACAGAAAATTTCACACCTTTTGTTTCGTTTTAGCTTTTGCTGATGGCATTTCGAAGAATCAGATTGAAAATCTTAAGATGATCAATTGGTTAAGATGATTAAGGGCCTCATTTTCGGTTAGTTTAACTTTCGAGTTTGTTTCCGAACTCAGATTAAAGACAGAAAATGGTTAAGATGAATTAATGGCCCAATGTTCGAAAATCTCAATATTATAAAACTCGGCCATCACGGCATAAAAATGTACACCAGGAAATCTCATTTTCGGCTAATCTCAGATTATAGACAGAAAATGGTTAAAATAAATTAATGGCCCAATGTACGAATATCTCAATATTAAAATATTCGACCATCACGGCATAAAAAGTAATAAAAAGTACACCAGGAAATCTCATTTTCGGCTAATTGACCATTGCACTCTGTTTTAGAAAACAGATTAAAGATAGAAAATGGTTAAGATGATTAAAAGATCATAAGCCTGAATAGTGACTTTGACCTGAAAGGGATCAGCGGGCGGTCACATTTGGGCGTGATCAGAAAATCCCCCTATCTCGCTCTGCTCGAGGGTCATAATCTACACCATCACCACACGTATACAGAAGATAAACCCACTATGCTAGAAAATTACACACAACACACGCACAGAGACATGTAGAAGACACATATACAGAAAAGACACTATGCTCACTTAGCAGAAAGTTACGCAACAAAAACAAAAGAAAAGTATATTGTTC